AAGTGACTGGAGTTCAGACGTGTGCTCTTCCGATCTTATATATATATATATATACACACATACCTACATACATACGTATAAAGTCATGTTAAAGTTAAAAAGAAACAAAAGATTCAGTTCTACTGTACATTGTTATTGAGATATTGTACAAATAATGTGGCAATTTGATCAACTTCATTCTGTTGCATTTTGCTAAAAGTTATAAACTGCCGTCGTAACATCGCAAGTTTTGACGGCGCGGTTGCACGTTCCAAATTCACACTGGAATTCGGTATCTTTATATCGTAGTTAATTCCCAGTTGTTGCATCGACAGTATCGCCTGAATATGAAAGAATATTTCTTGTTAGCATTTTGTATAAACTGATAAAGTATCATGTACAACTTTACAGACTGCTTTATAGATTATGTATTGTACAGTAAAAGAAACTTTTAAGAGTGAAGAACAAACGTGACTATTGTGTCTGAATTTTGACGTTCAATGCTTAATCATTTGTACTCCATCAATATGAAGTACACTCTCAAATTATTGTACACAACTTACGTTTATCACATTTTTTGTTGTATTGTCCAATTCATACAGGTAATTTGTGGACGCTAATGGCGGCTGAAAAGATAAATATCTGCGTAAGATATTGATCGCTCTGAAAGAAATTTTACAAAAAATAATGGGATATGGAAAGAGATACCAACACTCTGGGTACTCATATTTGGTTTTGGTAATTTGCCTTTGTAGAGATAACAATAAATTTCATCATACATTAGATTGTCCTCTGGCATAATTGTGAAAAGTGGACAATCCCATCGGTTTGTAGTATCTGGTGCTTCGTACCTGTTGTGTTCAACATTTGAATATTACTCCAGAGATTGTCTGGTTTTTTATGATTACTTCCGTTGTATTGTTATTATGCAATCACCTGGACACAAGCGCGTCAAAGATATTTTCATCATATCGATCCAAATCTGGTCGTTTGTTGTTCCATAATCGAGCTTGTTCGATTGGCAAGTTACAGTGCAGCGTACACTGAGGAGTTTTGTATAATTTAGTCGTGCAATAAATTTCGTATCGATATCCCTTGATATAATTGCTGCCATCGAATATCAATAAGTCGTTTGAGTCCAATTTACGTTGAATGTCCGATTTGATTGAACTCCTAACAGCCTTCTCTTTTTTTGAATCTGAAACAGGCAAGATGGATTGGCATGATAAATAATGATCGAATATTGTATACAGCATATGAAATTGTGAAATATTCATCAGATATAAAATTGTTTGTGGAAACGCTAGTTCTCATGGTAATGTTTTCACCTCACTCTTCGACTTACCAGCAAAACATTCATTTTTATTGTAACCCGCTTGAATTATCGCGTCGCACTCTATGATTATCTCCACGTTCTGTCCGCTCTCCTTCAATTTCTTTTCGAAGTAATCCTTCAGCTCGAGGCTCCTCGTCGTTTTACCGCTGCACGGTATGCCAGTTACTACTATTAGCGGCATTTTAATGTAACCGGCAAGAAACAATCTGATCTTTCTTTTCTTTCTTTCTTTTATTTGGGTGGCCCTGGTCAGAGAGGATCCTGAGAGCGGTCATGCCCGCGATTTAGCTGCGATAGAAATTGAGCTGGTTTCAGCGCCTCTGGAAAGTGGACATTGAACTATCAACTAGAGAGACCAATAAGAAGCACGCTTTCCGTCCAGCGCGTGCTTCTCATTGGTCTGTCTAGTTGGTAGTTCAATGTCCACTTTCCAGAGGCGCTGAAACCAGTTCAATTTCTATCGCAGCTAAATCGCGGGCATGACCGCGATTAAACTTAGATTCAACTTAGATGAATGAGTACTAAATCTTGATAAGTGAATCAGTTGAATGATGCAATACTTAAAACTTGATAAATGAATACTAATCGAAAGCAGAAAACTGTTAGTCAATAGTGAGGAACAAACATCAGCTTAGGGTGCGTTTCCACTGAGCGCGTCACGCGTTATCCGAATTGATCAATCAAAACATTTCATTTTATTGCGTAAGTTGTCGCGCAATCCTGGATTTCATACAAAAAGATTATTTTATCTCTAGAATGTTGAGTAACCTAATCGATGCGTCGTGCAAGGGGTGCGTTCGGATTCCTCCCTCAGTATGTGGCTGCTGTGTGATCGGTGAGAGTGGGGTCTAAGCTATTGAAAGACACCATGGCAAATTTGGTAGACTTGCACTGATTCTGTGCAAGTGCTATCCAGTACTGCCCTGAAATGGTGCTAGTGCAGCACGGTCTCCGGGTAAATGCGATCGTTCATAGTGCAGCATTAACTCAGGGCAACACTGAAATAAAACAGCACTGAAATGATGTGAAATGGTACTCCGGTGCTTCACTTTTTAGTGTAGAGTGCAGATTGGGGAATAATTCTTCTCCTTGACAATCTCGAGCTGCGGATCAAAGTCGGTATATATTAAAACTTAAAGTTGAAAATTAAATTGGAACTTGATTACAACAAATAATGTTGTAATAATTAAT